CGCTCAGGCCCGCATCCGCCCACCACCGAATGCCGCGGCCCGCAGCGCCCCAGTCCCGCCTCACGGATCGACGGGTCGGCTTTCGCACCGCCGCGCCACCGGTTCCCCCTCGCCCCACTGCCTCGGAGCGGGCCGGCGCGGCGGCGCCCGGTTTCTGTTGGGCCCGTCACGCGAGACCCGCTTCTTCCTTTAGAGGATTAGAGAAAAAAAAAAAGGCAACGGCCCACGCACCGCACCGCACTGCACTCAGGCCCGCATCCGCCCACCTCCGAATGCCGCGGCCCGCAGCGCCCCAGTCCCGCCTCACGGACCGACGGGTCGGCTTTTGCACCGACGCGCCACCGGTTCCTCCTCGCCCCACTGCCTCGGAGCGGGCCGGCGCGGCGGCGCGCGGTTTCTGTTGGGCCCGTCATGCGAGACCCGCTTCTTCCTTTAGAGGATTAGAGAGAAAAAAAAAAAGGCAACGGCTGCTGCGCTCGGAGGGGGCAACTTGGCAAGAGGTGACGCTGTCTCATCTTGCTTATGCTCTCCAGGTCCCTAGGGAACTGGTAGACCTCTGCCTGCTCAGCAGCTCCGCGATGGGTCATATTCGGAGGGGGACTGTGTGGACTCAGAAACTGGCCCTGTGGAAGAAGATCCAGGTGAGATGTCGACTCCCCGACACAGCGGATGCTATTTTTAACCAGCTGCTCTTTGATAACCGGTTTATTTGTGACGAGGCAGGGGACCCCTACCCATGGCAGGGGGCGCGAGGGGCCTATGGATGGAAATGGGCGGAGCAGGGCATTTTCAAGGTGGGACATTTGTGGGATGAGGATCGGAAGGATTGGCGTACAGATGAGGAAATGGATCTTGCAGTGCAGGGGTGCATGAAGAGGGGCCAAAGGGTCAAGGACATGAGAGAGGCTATTCCGACTCAATGGGTGGAAGTGCTAAAAAAAGATGAGATGGTAGTAGGCCAGTGGGTCAAGCTTAAGGGGAGTGAGGCACCCAAAAGGCTCTATAGAGTCAAGCAGGTACTGCCGAATGGGGACCTGGAGGTCACTGTATGGAAGGACAGGCCGGGACGGGGATGGGAGGGGTTGGGGCAACCACTGCAGGACCTGCACGCTGTGAGGAAAATAGCACGAGCTCTGGTGGAAACGGTTGCRGTATGTGAAGGAGGGAAGAAAGAGGCTGGACACTACCTACCCTTTTGCACCGCAACCCGGTTGAGAGCCCTTGCCTGGAACCCGGCAGATTGGGAATGGCCTCCTCRGAGGACGCACAGGAGATCGATGCCACTCCAAGAGGTAACCACGAAGATTGTTTACAACTCGCTGTTGGAATCAGTGAACATCTGTGGGGAACTGAAGGAGAGGTGGGCTAAACGGGAGTGGCTCCAGGACGTGTGCCTTGCTAATTGGACTCAACGAATGTGGAACGAACAATGCAACATCATGGCTGCCTTGCCAGACCAAAAGCAGGCGGGCCTGCTATGGCAGATTTACCATTTGGCAATCCCAATTGCGCAGTGGCAGGCTGCCAAGAGTTGTCATAAGGACCAAACCTGTGCAGCAGCTTGCGGCCAGGTGGAAACGATCCCCCACCTTTTTGTTCGATGCCCAAGGGTGCAGGAGTTTTGGGAGTGGTGGGCGCAGGAAATGGCAGACAAGACACCGTTACAGGTGGATGAAACGACCGACACAGATATCTTGCTGGGTACCCTGGGCAAGGGAAGTAGGCGGGCCATGGCCGAAATGGTGGTGGAAGAGATCGTGAGGGCAGCAGTGTTATGGGCTCTGTGGACACTGAGAAATGAACGATGTAGGCAAGGAACGTCCCCGCCACTTCGGGCCTATCAGGAGCGGGCACTGGAGAATATTCGCATTGCTATATTGGCGGATCTGCACCGAAGTAAACGCGCAGGGGAGGCCAAGGCGGCAGACTTTTGGCAGAGATGGGCTCCGTTCCCGCAAATGCTGGTGTGCGCGACTTTACTACAGGACAGTTGCAGTTTGGACCGGCCCTGCAACACTACGTGCCCAGATTGGACACGGAGGACCCAAGCAGCAGTCAGTCGATAGCATAGATTGGGGATAGGGTAGATAGGTTACAAAGGAATGGGAGGAATCGGGCGTAGAGAGAGGAGGGTAGACGGTAGGGGGTAGTGGGGAATGGGAGGGCAAGTTAACATTGGAAAATGGAAAAAAGGGGGGATGACAGAGGAAGGGACATGGGATATATTTTGAGTGTTGAATATGCTGTTGAATATGCTGTTGAATATGCTGTTGAATATACTGCTGGGGATAAGATTCAAGTAGTTTCAACTACACTAGAATAGGGATGGCCTACCTGGTTTCAGGCATTTGCGACGGTTTTTTAGTTTAACTCAGAATAAGGGGCCTATTTTGGCCATAGGGGTTCAGCAAGGGTTCTCCATGATGAGACAAGAGAAACCTACTGCCCTCAGAAGAGGGCGGGCAAATAAGGCAAGAGTGAGGTTGGAAACATATCAGCCGGATCGACATAAAACATAAAGTTGCTAGGGTTTAGACGTAGACGATGCTTGAGAATATCAGAGATACTTGGGGCAGGTTGTATAAAGGACTGCGTAGTGGAGAYTTGAGGGTGGTATGAGGATGTAAATATTAGATGGTGCCCAGAGGCTCTTAATAGGGAAACTGAGGAATGGGTAACACGATGAGAGGCTCGTGAGATTGCTAGAACAGCCCCCCCGACCCAGGCCTCCCCTGGGGACCCGTCTGTTGTGTGACTGGGTGCTGTTAGGAAGCTTCCCGACCAACAGAGGTGTCCCTGGGATGGCTATGGTATGGGAAGTGGGCTTTGGTTGTAGCAATCTCCCCCTTGAGAGGCGTCTAGGGCCGCAAGGGTAAGGCTTTCCTCTTCTCTTTTCAGTCAAACTGTATTTTGTTTTTCCAGGCTTGCCGGTGATGAGCAACCGGACTGATGCCCCCCAGAATAGAAGGGGCTGGGTATTATGGAAAAAAAAAAAGAAAAAAAAAAGAGATATCATCATTAAGCTGACCGGCCCCAGGCAAGTCAGAAATAGTTGGTTTTTACAACTTTACTCGTCAAGTTCCATCATCTGGATTCAAACACGGGTCTGTATTTTCAACAGTTCATGAGTGTACCCACTGAGCTAGGCTCTTGGGTATGTCTTACAAGTTTCTCTTTTGGGGAAAAGCTTATCATTATACGCATAAAGTTATAAACCCATTGGAGTTGTGCTGAAGGAAATGAGATGATTCAGGACAAGATGAGACGAGTTAGAATTGAGATAAGATGAGAGGAGTGAGATGAGATGGCATGAGATGAGAGGAGAGGAGAGGAGACGGGAGGAAGAGAGGCGAGAGGGGAGGGGAGAGGAGAGGAGAGGAGAGGAGATGAGAGGAGATGAGATGAGATGACGCGAGACGAGACTTGATGTCTTCTCTCCTCTCCTCTCCTCTCCACTCCACTAAAAAGCAAAAAAGCAATCTGCAGATATAATGACGTAAGAATGTCGCCTACAATTCTCACTCATGCGAATCAGATAGAAAACCAAGAGAATGGGAAACAAACCGATCGCAAGGAAGAAGAAACGAACTCACCTGGATAAGAAAGAATCCACGGCCGGAATGTATGAACCAAGACACAAGAACAAACAAAGAAAAAAGTACGAGTCAGTACACGGACTGTGAGATTATAAACATAGACTAGGGTGAGACAGGACTGGTACGAGACGAGAGTACGGTCAAGGACACGCGACAATCATTAGATATGAAGGGAATGTCTCCTTGTTGAAGCATACGGAAATTGACGGCGACAAGGACGACAAGGGTTGGAATAGGGGAGATCCAGAGGAGCGATGATGAGTACGCTGTAAGGACAGGGAGTGGGGGTGAAGTACGGGGACCAAAAAGGTATATATACTGTGGATAGTGCCTGAAAAGATTACCTGAGCGGTGAGGTAGAAGGGTAATCGCGACTTGGTCGCACGCCATGGACATTACGTGTATGCTGCGATAGTAAAACCTCGCACGTTTTGTCTGAATTTGCAAGTGTTTATCTTCTCTCCTTTCCTCTCCTCTCCTCTCCCCTCCCCCCTCCCCTCTCTTCCTCCCGTCTCCTCTCCTCTCCTCCTCTGGATCTGAGGTTCTTTAATTCCATTCTTATTCTGAAAGAACAAAGAATCTGTAACAACTATGCATGGTGGTGATGGGTTACTAGAGTGTGGATTGTTATAATATTCGATTACCTGTGAACTATGGTCTGATTTAAATGGGTGTGGATTTTTTGCATGAATTCTGATATTTATGTCTTGGTGTTGGTTTACTGTTCTCGGTCGATCTTTTCCTCCTCTCTTCCATTGTCATTGTCAGCCTGACAGCATCCGTATTATGGGGGACAAGGCAACAGCAAGAGAAACAATGAAAGTGGCAGGTGTGCCTATTGTTCCTGGGAGTGATGGACTTGTCAAGGTTTGTTTTGCCTGCCTCTCCCATGAAATTTCCTGTGTACCCTTCCTATGCCTACTTCTTTTAATGCTCCTCAACCTGGCCTACATTTGGTTTGATGCCAGTTCTTCCAGTCTCATCTGGGTTGTTTGGTTTCTGCTGTGAGGATATGTGAAGCCACCAACCTGGAAGTAGGCAAATGGTTCATCACTCAATGACTTGTGTGCTGTTCTTGGTTCCTAACCTGGCATGGTTTGGTTCTCATCTCAGGAGTCCTTCATTTTTTGGGATAACTGTGCGCAAGTGGATCCACATTTTTTTATGCCGAAAATTTTCAAATAAACAACTGGTTGGGATTTCATTCGCATCGGAACTGAAGATGGGAAAAAATCTTGCTGACTGGAGTTTTGTTCCAGCCAAAACGTAAAATTGAAAAAGTTGTATGGGAATGGTACTGGGAATTTCAGGCCGGCCTCTCTCAACCAGCTTGCACTGGGCTCTCCCAGTACCGCCCTCTCTCAACCAGATGGTACTGGGTTCTCTGTGTGCTGGCACCTGTACGGGTGTGCCGGGAATGGGGGAGCATGTGCATGGCGAGTGTTGCGTTGCACGCACACACACACACACACACACACACACACACACAGTGGCGGCTGCGTTGACTCTTTTGGGTGAGTTGCATTCTTAGCTCAGCTGGATAGAGCAACAACCTTCTAAGTTGAAGGTCACAGCTTCAAATCCTGTAGGATGCTGAATTCTTCACGCAGGCCATTTTCCAGGCCCTGCGCCCTTCAGCCGAAAAGCCTAGAATTCAGCCTGAAAACAGGGGCCTACAGTCCCTGTGTCGTTTCAAACTAAAAATGGCAAGAGCCTTTTTAGCCTGAAACGAAGGGCTATTTTCGGTCGTTCACCAGAACGACCGGCCCTGAAACTCAGGCACC